CACAGAAACGGGGGCGGCGACGAGCCGCTCGCAGAGCGCGGCCCGCACCCCCCGAAAAAGAATGTCCCCCGCGCCCTGGAGAGCCACCTACGCGATCGCCTGCATAAGGCGCCCGCGCGCGCGGCCGAGGGGGGCGCTTTGGGGCTGAGAAGCTGCAGAGACAGCAAGAGCGCGGGTCGCAAGGAGAATAGAGAGGAGCATGATGATGATGATGATGATGATGATGATGATGATGATGATGATGATGATGATGATGATGATGATGATGATGATGATGATGACGCTGATGGTGATGATGTTGATGATGATGACGATGATGGTGAGGACGGGAGGTGAAGAGGAAGGAGGACGAGGACGAGGAGGAGGAGGAGGAGGAGGAGGAGGAGGAGGAGGAGAGGAGGAGGAGGAAGAGGAGAGGAACGCGGAGCGACGTCTTTTCAAAACGAGGACGCAACACCTCAAGATGGTTGGGAACAAGATCGCTGGCAGCGGTCAGCAAAGGAAAAACTGATCGATTGCATTAGGAGGAGCGAAATCTTTCGGAAGGCACGCGACAGGAGCAGCCTTTTGAGACGAAGGGGGAGGAAGAGGAGGAGCAGGAGGGGAGAGAACCAGAAGGCGGGGCCGCGGGGCCTGCGCCACCCAACTCCGCTGTCGGGCGCACGCGTAGCGGCCAGAGGCAAGGAGGGGGAACGAGCACGGAGGAGGGAAGGGAAGAATCGGAGGGGCGCGGGCAGGACGCGCTAAACGTCTTGCCCCCCGAGATCGACGAGCAGGCCCTGCGCGGCGGCCACAGCGCCCCCCGCCCGAAGGCGCTCCGCGTCTCCGCATGACCGCCCGCGCAGAAGCCCAGCGGATCGCCACGGACAGGCGGTGGAACAGCTGGGCCGCACCAGCTCCAAGCTCCTCCCCGCTCCATTTGTCGCTGGCCCGGGCAAGCCGGCGTGGCGCGTCGGCACCGGTGGGGCCCCAACCGCCGGGCGGCTCCGCAACAAGGAGAACGAACGCGATCTCTTGCTGCTGGCACAGGCGTTCAGTGTCGATGTGGCTCCTGTTGACCATCGCGTACTCTTGCGCCGCGTGTCCAATTCCCAGGGAGGCCAGGGCACGGGCGGCCTGCCTATGCGGCGAAGAAACCGCGAAGTCAAAGGCAACAGGTAGAAGCCCAGCTGTTCGAGTGTCGGGTTCAAGCCTCCCCTGAGCCGGCCCCCCCCCAAACTTTGAGGAGAAGGACGAGGAGGAAGAGAAGGAGGAGGAGGAGGAGGAGGAGGAGGAGTTCTCACCCATTCAGTTCAATGTCTTATCACTTTCAACCTCGACGAACCTGAGGGGGATACAACTTATCTGCACCCCCCATTCATATTGCTAGTTCTATGAGCCACACGCGCTGGCAGATGCAGCACATTGTTGCCTGCGCGGGGGCCTGGCCGTTGAACTCAACGGGCAGGGCTCAAAATCGGGGAGGGGTAATTATCTCATTCCTCTCGTGCACCGACTCATCATTACGATCGGCTGAGCGGGAGGGCGGAGCGGCGAGGGAGACGGCAGCAGTGACAGGTCCGATCCAGCAAGGACAAGACCAAAATATCCACCGCTATCAACTAGGCTGAGGCAGGCTCCTGGGCGACAAGAGATCTCACGAGCCCTAGCACATGCCCATCTGCCAAGACATAGTCCACTCCATCTGGAGGAGGAGGAGGAGGAGGAGGAGGAGGAGGAGAAGGAGAAGGACGAGGAGGAGGACGAGGAGAAGGAAAAGGAGGAGGAGGGCGGAGGGAGGCAGAGGGAGGAGGGAGGGAGAAGGGAGGAGGGAGGAGGGAGGCACAGGGAGGAGGATCACGAGGATTGCGATGATGCGCACCAAGTTGCGTGCCAGCGCCTGCGACAGCGGCCGCAAGCGAAGGGTGGCGCGAAAAGAACCACGGCCTTGCCGCGGGGCCACCCCTGGTCAATAAAACGCTCGCGGCCAGGGCAACGAGCGCGGCAGCGGCAACCCGCTGCGATTGGGAGGTGGCGCGAAAAGCTGCGGCCCTACCGCGGGGCCACCCACACCTTATGGATCGCTCGCGGCAGGGTCAGTGAGCGCGGCTGCGGCGGCCTGCTCCACGGCCATGCCGTGGGACGCCGCACGGACACACGGAGTGAGGCCGTCGCGGCCCGCAAGGGCGCGCGTAAAAAGGCCCTTGTCGATCTTGGCCAGATTATCCTTGCCTTTGCGGGTCAGGCCCCCGCACGGACTGGCAAGGCGCCTAGGGTCTTCGGTGGCAGTCTTGCCAAACTCGCGGCAGAAATACATGCAGTACTTCTGCACGAAGTGAAGCTTATGTGAGGAGTGCAGCACGCGGTCACAGAGTGCAGCCGTCCCCTGAACTGGGACGACCTGGTCACTCGCGACAGGCAGGGGCGCCACTGGCTGGCACGGCGTCGCACAGGCTGGGCGGATTAGGGCCTTATCCACTGTGACTCCACAGCTCGAGCACCTCTACCTGCTCGAGTGGAGCACACAGGAGTGGGGGCTGGCACTCAAGGCGCGCTGCAGCAGAGTGGCACGCTGCCCCTTGGCCTGCGAGGGTCGCTCCGCGACCCACGGGTCGACGGCCAGGGCATCGGCGAGCGCGCGCCGGGCACGGCGCCTGATGAGGGCGCACTGCGCGTCGTGCAAGTCAGTAGGGGGCGCAGCGCCAACAATGGCCGCTTCCCAAGCACGGCGGGCGGCTTCTCCAGCCCACGCGTCTGCGCAGGCGTTGCCTAGCGCGTGGGCGAAGGCAACTGGGTCACGTGCTACACTGGCGGCGCCCTCGCTGTGCGAGGGCACCCACAGGACGCGCACCGCGCCTGGTCCTCTGTACTGGACCGCGCGGCCAATGCGCTGCCACAAATCACGGTTGGCCCCATGGGGCTGCAGGCGTCGGCTCGACCTCCACCCCTGCAACAAGGGCATGTTGTCAGTAACATAGCGCAGGTCACCGACTGAATGCTCGAGGGCCAAAGCGAATGCTAGGAGTTCGGCGCGCGGCACCGTTTGAAATGGGCCGTCCAAGCCTGAGAGGATGCCCCCCCAGGGCACCCATTCCCCAAAGCGGGATTGCATGGCGATCACAGCGGCCCCCGCCCTGCGGCGACGGGGGTCTGAGCGACACTGACCCCGAGCCGTCGCCATACAGGGTGAGGGGGCCATCCGAATCTTCGCACCCGCCCCAGCCCCGCTCAACCCAGCTCCACCCGCCGCCCCGCCCCACATCTCGAAATACAGGGCGCGCGCCCGCACGCGCGGCAAGGCCACGGAGCCAGCATGCAGGGCCAGCCTCGGCGCAAGCGAGGGCTGAGGGGAGGAGGGCGTCAGATTTCTCGCAGTCCTCGTGGTCGCGGCTGCTGGGGCACAGCCAGACGCGATGCATCAGCGTCTCCTCGGCGCCCCCACACCTCGGGCAGGAAGTCTCGGCCTGGTAGCCCGCCTCGGCGAGGCGCACACGCGGCCACTGCGCCCCCGCGACCACGCACAGGTTCAGCGCCCACTGGTCGTACTCTCCGTCGCACATGAACTTGTTCATCTCGTGCGTCACAGTATGTACGTCGGCCCCTTCCTCTCTGAAGTCCATCTCCTTCAGGGCGTTTCGCCGCGGCCTGCCAGCAGCCGCTCTCGATGGACTGACAGAACTCCAGGGCCCGCTGCGACGGGTCGACCTGCTCGCGTCTCTGCTCCCAATCTCCACAGTCCTTGTGAGGTAGGAGCCATGTCTGCTCGCCCTGCTCACCCTCCCGAGGCTGTCGAGACCACTCGAAGGGAGAAGGACAGTCCCACCCAGCGTCAAGTAGGATGGCCTGGACGGCGGAGATGGGGCCCACCACCTGTCTCCAGCGCCTCGTGGTGCTGCAGGTGACCCTCGTGTAGATGATCCGCCAGGCCTTGCCGATGCGCGGGTGGTAGTTCGGGTTCGCGAACCAGAAATTGAGCCACTCCAGGATGGTCTGCCTTCTGAGCTCGATGCCTGGGTCCTTGTCGCCCAGGATGACGGCTAGGGCGGTTGTGAGGCAACGTCCAGGGACCTTTCCCGCGGCGGCCTGCACGGCGCGTCGCCTCTGCTCGGTTATGGTGCACGGGGAGAGGCCCATGACCTGGTGGCCGTTGGTGCCCTGCGGGCGGGACCCCGTTGTCCAGAGGCCCTTCGCGATCTTGGCCTGCGAGGAGTGCCTGCGGATATTGGATACGATTCGTCCAGTCCTGCGCTTGGCCTTCTGCGCCCCCTGAGATGCGTCGGCCGCCACTCCGCGACGGGCCCCGACGGTCTCGATGCCCAGGTAAACCGCGGTGCGGGACGCCTTGATGGCGTAGCCCGCGCGCTTGACGTGGGTGCGCAGGTTGAGAGCCACCGCAGCCGAAGACGCGATCGCCGTGGTCTTCGGGGAGACCTTGAGCTCCGCCTCGGTCATGCCGTCGCACAAGATGACGCCCACGTCCGCGAGGTCCCCGGCAACCTGCCTGGGTTCGCCTTCGGCCCTTGCGACCGTGTCGCCGACGAAGGCCCACAGGCCTGCGTAGTCGTAGTTGTGGAGGGCCCTGGCCAGTATGGGGCCCAAGTATACCTTGGCGAGCTTTCCTCAATGCGCGATCCCAGCGACAATTGAGCGCTGCGGGTCGATGATGTCGCTGACCCACCCGTGCATGCGCAGGTACCTGGGGGCCATGAAGAGCTGCACCTCCAGCGCGACGACAATGGGGGGAAACCTTCCCTGGATGGCCGTGTCCAGGAACTTGGCGAAATTGACTGAGTCGTAGAACTTCTCGACGTCCATGAGGAGAGTCGCGTAGGAGAAGCCTAGGGCCGCCGAGGTCTCGTCGAGGAGCGCCCTTGTCAAGGCGGCCCGTAGGGCGCTAGAGCCCTTGATGGCGGTGCCCCAGAACTCGCCCAGCTCACTGGACCACTGGTCGGTGATTGTGGCTCGGATCTTGCTCCAAGTCTTCGGGATGGCAGGGAGCACGCCACGCATGCGCCCCCCACCAGCGGGCTCAGGAGCCATCGCGCCAACCGTGGCGCAGAACCGCTGCGGCCCTAGCCCAGCATGCTCCACGAAGTTGTAGAGCTGCGCCAGCTGGTTGATGCCGTTGGAGGGCAATCTCTGTATGCCGAGAGGCCCAATGTTGTCGACCCCACGGGCTTTCTTGGGGTCCGCGACGCTTACGACCGCGTAGATGCGCTGCGGCTCGATGCAGGGGATCGGGCCCTCCCTCGCCCTGCGCATCGCCTCCAGGTAGGCCTGCATGATCTGGTGATCGTCGTAGGAGCTGGTATTCCAGATCTGCCTCCACACGCTGGCGGCCCTATTCATAACCGTGTAGGGGTCGGCGAAGGTGACGCCGTGGAGCTCAGTCTCGAGCTTGGGTGGGCTCGGGTCCTTCACGATGGCGCGGAGCTTCCCTGGGGGATCCGTCCAGGCCCGCTTGGCCCAGTCGAGGTAGCGCATACGGGCCCTCCCCGCGGCTCTGGCTGCGGCGCCGTGCTGCCAGCGCTGGGTGGTCGCGCAGATAAGGCCGAGGTCGTGCTCGTCGCAGAAGTCCAGGGAGGCCACCTGGAGCTTCCACCCCTCGGCCTCCGTAGGGTCGCCCTTGGGGCCGAAGTACTTCTTGCGGTCGTCGTCGCTGCCGATCTGAATCAGCATCGCCTGGGCGCGCCTCGCGATCAACTCCCGCGCCTTCACGCCCTTGCCATTCTTGACTAGCGCCGTGTAGCGCTGCATGAGCGCGCCGAATGCTGCCACCAGCTAGCGACGGGGTCGTTGAGGTACGCACGGCCAGGGGTCGCCTTCATGACCTGGTGGGCCGTCGGATAGCCCTGCGCCCTGCCTTGGTACCTGGCCCTCTCCTCGGCCGGCACAGCGTGGGCCCCCTGGAACGCGATCTCCAGCGCGGCGACCCAGTGCGCATAGGCTGTGCGTCTGAAGGGGGGCGCGCGCGGAAGATGCGGCCCCTGCCCCCCTTGGCACCCACAAGGTCGCCCTGGAACTCGGGCACGTGGCCACGGTGCACGCGGCCGCGCCCCAGACGGTGTCGGGGATGAAGAACGGCGCGTCGTCCTCAGGCGGCTGGGGCTCTGGGTAGTGGAGGGCATCGAACTCCTCGCGGAGGTGCTCGGGCAGCCTATCCCTCCTGGTCCTCAACGCCTCCGCTCGAGCTTTCGACCGTTTACTCGTCGGGTCGGGGCCCCTCCTAGGCCTGGCTCGAGCGGGGAGGGCTTCGGGGGCCTTTATAGCGCGGTAGCCCCAGGGCTCTGCGTCGCCGATGGCGACCTGCATGCCGCAATGGGGCTTACACGGCACGTCGTAGACCACCTCTACAGTGATGCGGGATGCGATGTCGGACCTGACGATCGCGCAGTCGTAGATGGAGCCCTTGCCCTTGTCGCACGTGGCGGCGCACGCAGGATCGGTGACGATGGCGCCACTCCAGCGGCTGAGCCACGGCTTGTCCTTCCACCAGGGCGGCGCGGAGTTCCAGTCAACCAGGGTGATCCAGGGGTCAGCAAGCATGTCGATGAACGTAGAGATCGACATGAGAACGTCGCGATTGGCCCCCATGTCACGGAGGCCTGGCCGCAAGCACGCGGCCACGACGATCACGTTGCCGCTCCTGGTGCGTAGGATCGTGGGCGAAAAGCCCACGAACGGCTGGCGCTTGTAGGCCTGGAGGTAGTACTCCCTGTAGCCCTCGAAGGTGGTGGCCGCGACGTCCCGTCGCGCCAGCACCCACTCGCCACCGTGCGTGCCGACGTCCGACTTGTGGATCTGGACGGCGGGAGTGGCGGCCATCTTCCACCCGTCCATGGCGAGCTTGCCGTGCAGGTCGCCGATGCCCCCGGCGTCAACGCGCGTCTCCGCGAGCGCCAGCACGTGGTACTGGTGGCCGATGGCGCGGCAGTAGTTCGCGGCCTGCGGCCCCCACTCCGCGATGCTGCCGAAGAGGATCTGGGCCTTGAGGTTGGCGTTTCCCTGGCTTCTGGCTAGCAGGCGACTCCGATCCAGACCTGCCTTTGCCTTTGGTGGAGGCTGCCAGCTGCTTGGCCCTGGCGACCGAGTCGACGATGAGGGCCGCAGCGGCCTCGCGATCGGCAGCGCTGGGCCCCACCTCAGGAGGCTCGTCTGCAGGAGGAGCTGCAGGTGCTCGGGCGCCTCCTCCCGCGGGTTGGCCCCCCACAGGGATGTCGGCTGGGTCGACAGCAGCAGGCTCGGCAGGCTCTTCTCGCCCGCGCTTGCGCTTGGCAGGGTTGTCGGCGGACTCTTGGCCTGGCGGAGGATCTCACGCACGAACTCCTGGCCCTCGTGGAGCTCCTTGAGGTGTTCGTCGAGGTCCTTATTCCACTGCTCCATCTGCTGCTTGGTAGCGTCGTCGTACTTCCCGAGGTCGTCCCAGATGGTGGTGTCGACGCGGAGCAACTCGTCGGCCTTGGGAACAGGAGGTGGCTCAGGCTCAACTCCAAGCTTCCGTCGTTGTTCCTCCTGGGCCTGCTCACATGCCCGCATGGCCTTGACGAGCTCGAGGGCTGCTTGCTCCTGGCGGGCCTTGGCGTCGGCCAGCCACAGCTCTGCGGCCTTCACGTCATCCACGGTTTGCTGGAACTTCCGCTCGCGGTCGGTGAGGACGGAGAGGGCTGACTGGAGAGCCTGCTCCGCCGTACGCGCTGGCGGCGGTGGTACGGAGTCCTGTAGCGCATCCTGTAGTTGGTCAACCAGCCCCGTATGCTTCTCATCGTCGAGGAGGAGCTTGAAGGCCTGGAGGATGCCGTCCTTCGAGGGCGGCTGGTTGCTGTGGTCCTTCTTGGTTTGTGGCGGTCTGGTTCGCCACGGTTCTGGGGCCCATGCCCCTTCTGGCTGCTTGTGCTCCGACGGAGATGGTGCGAAGACCCTTCCGCACGAGAAGCACTCGGACTTGTCCTTCCAGGTCCATCGGTACCGGCACTGCTTGCAGACCGTGTAGTCGTAAGCGGGCCGACCTGAACCAGCTCGCGGCTGAGGAAAAAAACGAGGAGGTGCTCGCTGCTGTTGGCCACGGTAGGGACCACGGCTGACCGCCATGTCCCCAAGCCGACTGCGCGCACTGGAGGGCTGGACGGCAGCTCGTCCAAAGGATCAGCTGCGGATATGAAAGCTGTGGGCGGCAGCTCGCCCGAGGTTGTGGCTGCAAAGAGGATCGCTGAAACCAATGGGAGCCTACCCCGCTGAGGCAGTGGATGGAGCGCCATTTGGCCTTGAGCCACCATGGCTACGGAGGCACAGGGAGGAGGGAGGGAGGAGGGAGGAGGGAGGAGGGAGGCACAGGGAGGAGGGAGGAGGGAGCAGGGATGAGGGAGGAGGGACGAGGGGGGGGAGGGAGGAGGGGGAAGAGGAGGACGGAGGATATTCGAATATCGAGTCATCTGGACGTTTTCGGCCCTCGTTGGACCTCCTGAAGCCTTGACGGACCTCCAAGGACCTCTGCCGAAGCGGATCTCTGCCGAAAAGGATTTCTGCCGAAGCGGCCTGACGAAGGGGACTTGCCGAAGTGGACGTCTGCCGAAGCGGGCTTCAGTCGAACGGGATTTCTCTCTCCTCCTCCATACAGTTCCTTATAAATTACGTATCCCTGTCGCACCCCAAGACATGTCGGTAAGGCGGGCTGGGCGTTCCACCTCACACTTCTTCACCACTTACGATTATGAAGCTTGAGATGTACAATGGTTCCACAGATGGAAGGGGAAATGATTTTCAAAGTGTGGCTCTCGCCTTGGCGCCATGCACATTCATTTCAAAATTCTGCAACAGTTGAAAGGGTGGAAGAAGGGCCAGTCCTTTTCAAAGTGCGGTCCTCGCCTTACCGCCACGCGCGTTCGTGCAAAAAGTGTGCAACAGTTTCACGGACGGAAGGGGGACCACTTTGTAAGTGTGGCTCTCGCCTTAGCGCCGCGCGCACAACGTTTGCAACAGGTTCACGGATGGAGAGCGGCTCGTTTGCAAGGTGTGGTTACGCCTTGACGACGCGAGCAGCTGCCTTGAAAGTTCGCAGCAGCTTCAAGGATAAGGGACAGGTATCATCTCAGCGCCGCGCAAACTCCTCTTAAGACTTGCAAGCGGTTCACGGATGGAGGGCGGTTCGTTTCCCAAGTGTGGCTCTCGCCTTAGGGCCACGCGCATTCGTCTCAAAATATTGGAACAGCAGATACGCAAGGGGACAGTTTCTGTAAGTGTAACTCTCGCCTCAGCGCCATGCACATCTGGCTGGAACGCATTCAACAATGCCAAGAATGGAAGGTAAGTCGTGGTCACATGAGGCTCTCGCTCTAGCGCCGCGCACACTCGCCTCACAAGTTCGCAACATAATCACGGATGGAGAACGGCTTATTTTGAAAGTGTTGCCCTTGCCTCAGCGCCACGCACATTCGTCGCAAAGGTCAAGGTCTTTCACAGGCAGAGGCGGCGGGAAGGGTCAAAACGTGGCTCTCGCCCTAGCGCCGCGCACGTTCGTCTAAACTAAAAAGGTTGCAACGTTTTCAGGGATGGAAGGGGGTCTTCTTCACAATGTGGTTCTCGCCTCAGCACCGCGCACATTCGTTATTTAACTTTGCAACTGCTTCGCGGATGGAAGACAGTTCGTTTTCAAAGTGCCTTATCGCCGCGAACAATCGTCTTGAATCCTGCAACAGCTTCAAGGATCGAGCACTGGCCGTGTGCGACATGGGACTCTCGCCTAAGAACCGCGTGGAACTGTTCGTCATGCAACTTTTGGCAGGATAAAGGACCTAACTTTTTCGTTATGGAACTCTCGCCTGAAACTTAATTGAGCTTAGCCGCACGGAGCTTCAACGCGCGCAGCGCTGTATTGATTCATAGCGGCCTTTTTTCAACATGGACCTGTCGCTTGACATTTCCTCGAAGCCCATGACCACAAGTGCAGACCCGTGCAGCAGTTACACGGAGGGGGGGAGGGCGGCTCTTCGTCGAAAGGGGGATGTCGCTGGACACCTCGTTGAAC